TTATTATTCTTTAGTTTGGGTTAAACAAATCAATTTTGCTTGGTTGGAACAGCAGCTACGCTAATTATGTCTCTAGTTGTTTCTCTGTTTCTGCTGGGATTGACATCCCGTGGAAACCAGGATTTACACAAGCTTCAGTCTGGATCCAGAACACCTGAGAAGAGATGATGCCAACCCCTCATAGGACCTCAGATGATGCCAAGCCTGAAACAACATACAGAACTACCACATTTTGCTATAAGTTTGATTGCATCATATAATAATTGCTGTTAATAGTGTTTATCGTCTTTTTGATTAAGTCTTTAATTGATTTTTTGATGTTGTTTCAACTCAAAATGTTTTTTTGAGTTGATGCAAGATGGCGCCGCAGATGGCAGCCATGGTTTGTCGGTACTTGGTACTTGTACTTTTTTAGTTTGTTTGTCCTGTCTTAAGCAATTTTTTCCCGATCAGCTTTACTACAAAGAAAGATGTTTATAAAGATAGGTATGAATATATAGGTTAGTAGATAGATATATTTATGAATGGCATTTTATTTGCCTGATATACTATTGTTGCCACTACTTAATACTTGATGTTAAAGGGAGACTGTGGACTGATTGATTAACTAGAATCACCTGATGTATGTTGTTTGTTATATAACCTTTGAGAGACAAAGAATTGTCACAGTGACAAAGGCAGATAGCCGAAACTTTTGTCTATTTTATCTCCTGCTTTAATTCTAATAAAATATTTTAGGAGTGCAAACCAACCTCTGCAACATGGGTATGTTAGCACAAGCTCTGCAAATTAGCACTCCAGTAAAGTCACACGTATTTATATGCCACTTTATTCAAGAGAATGCTTAAAAGCAAGCAACTTTGCAGTATTAAACATGAAAAACAGTGTCAGTGCTTCATTTCATCAGAAGAACAACGTGCGTTCATGCTTTCACCTGCGGAGATCTTACCTTGACGGACTCAACAGGAGAATTGAACTAGATAAGAGCTCCGAGCCTCAGAACACACCTCCTATTACGTTATTGTCAAGGAACAATGGTAGTACGAAGGTGATAACCAGGTGAAACTAACTTTTCTGTAGAGTTCGCTTTGCCATGCCGTTTCGAACTCCAAAAACGAACACAAAGCGAACTTAATTTTGGCCAGATTATGTTTGAAACGATGTTCAGTTCATTCTTCGATTTTGCTTGAAGTATATCGGGGTCTTGTGAGGCAAAAAAATAAATAAAAATGCAAAGTCGGCCATGGGTAATTTTTATGTGCTCATACTTATAAATGTCTATAACTCCAAAAATGTTTTCACCAAATTTGACACACATAGGTATGGACACACTCTGAGGACACGTAAAAATTGGTGGGATTTTGCCTCTTGGTGGCGCTATAATTGAACAAAACATGAAAATGCCATTAACTAATACAGTATTATGATATAAAATGTTATATTTTACAAATGCATTGGTGTAGTGTTACGAAACTCAGTATGTGCCTCCGGCATCATGCCCTGAAGGTACTCAAAAGACCACCTTGTGGTCAAAAGTTATAATGAAGAAAAAGGCTAATGGCTTTATATAAATTTGGCCTATTGTAATGAGACTGGTCTTAATAGACACCTTGTGTCATGCTGAGAATGTTGATATCAATTTTGCCAGATTTGGCCAAATTTCATGTCTGCCATTTGATTTTGTTTAAAACCTACTTTTTCAAACACCCCCTAGACCGTTGGTCCGATTTTCATCAAATTTGAGTCAGATCATCTTTAGACCATTGTTACGCCCCATTCTAATAAGAAAAAGGGCTTGACGTAAGTTTGAAGTAGGGCTGCACGATAAATCGCATGCGATATTTAATGCGCATCTTTTCAGAAAGCCGGTTCTGCGGTAAATCTCCATCACCTGTGGGCTTTCACATTGAGCAGCATTAACTACACAGAGCCGTTGTTCACTGACGAGCTGCGCAAAACCATGTTCATATTCGCGCGATTTTTTGCGCAGCTCGTCAGTGAACAACGGCTTTGTGTAGTTAATGCTGCTCAATGTGAAAGCCCGCAGGTGATGGAGATTTACCGCTGATTACAGAACCGGCTTTCTGACAAGATGCGCATTAAATATCGAATGCGATTTATCGTGCAGCCCTAGTTTGAAGGTAAACGGGAAACCAACCCCAGCCGACAGATCACCACAGACATAAAAGTAAGATCCACAAGTTAATTTACTGAAATTGAATAAAATAAATGAAACAAAGGAGCCATAGCTTCAGGGTGTCCTGCAAATAAAACAAATAAATGTCCTAGCAAAAGAAACAAAAATACAATAAACTTCCCTAACTCCCTAAGATAAACAAATCGCAAACAAGGCCAACTAAATGGCAGGACACCCCTACGCTCCTAAAGCACAGGCAGTGACTTAATTAAATTACTTCACAACAGAAATATGAACCATTTACGAAAACGAGTGGTTTGGAATCTGTCGACGGGAGAAGGAATCCGGAGCTCCTCACGCCAATAGCGCCGCCCTTTTAAGACGAAGCAACCGCAGGTTCAGCCAATCGTGTTTCTCTGCAGCAACCAATCCCTGCACAGACATACACAAAAAAACACTCCACACAGAAAACACAGATGCCGAAGTCGTAACACCCCCACACACTAAGAAAAATCTATATAAATTGATTTTAAACAAAACTAAAGGAACGAGATAAGGCATCTGCCAATACATTGTCCTTGCCCTTTTTATAGCAAATCTCAAGATTAAAATCTTGAATAAACAAGGACCAGCGCATAATTTGTTGATTTGCATTGCGCATACGAGACAGCAATACTAGTGGATTGTGATCAGTAAAGACAAGCACAGGAATAGAACTTGAACCCACGTATACTTCAAAATGTTGTAACGCCAGTAATAAAGCAAGGGTTTCTTTTTCGATAACACTATAGTGTAACTGATGTTTTAAGAACTTTTTTGAGAAGTACGCTACAGGATGCTCAACTCCGTGAATATCATCTTGCAAAAGAACTGCTCCGGCTCCAGTAGCACTAGCATGAACGTCGAGTTTAAACACACGTGAGTAATCCGGTGCAGATAACACTGGGGCACTACACAACAAACTTTTTACAGCTTCAAACGCATGTTGACAGCCATCAGACCATAAGCATTTTTGCAAGGCACGAAGAAGATTGGTTAACGGTAGAGCCACATCAGAGAACAGTAAAACTACACATTTTAGAGTGGCCTTTTATTGTGGCCAGCCTAAGGCACACCTGTGCAATAATCATGCTGTCTAATCAGCATCTTGATATGCCACACCTGTGAGGTGGATGGATTATCTCGGCAAAGGAGAAGTGCTCACTAACACAGATTTAGACAGATTTGTGAACAATATTTGAGAGAAATAGGCCTTTTGTGTACATAGAAAAAGTCTTAGATCTTTGAGTTCAGCTCAAGAGAAAACTTGTGTGAGTTTTCAGTAACTCACACAATCAGCTAAATAATTTACAATTATTTAAATTTGGTGCGAATGTATGTATTTTATGGAAATTCACACTTCTAAAAAAAAATGTGAAATTAACCTGCATTTTCTCTGTAAAAAGACTTTTCTTATTTTAAAAACAGTGTAGGATATAACTGTTCAGTGTTTCCATTTTTATATTCAGTTATAATTCTACACTATATATTTGGATTTCCTATAATTATTTCCTAGTATTTAATAAATAGATTTATAAATATTGAAGACTGAGAGTGTATGGGTATTCCATTACCCTTAGCTCAGTGGATCTCCCCTGTGTGTAATGTGCTTGAAGGCGCCCTCCCAACCCCGTTTATCTGAGCCATGACTATGCAGGACTGCAGGTTTATTTAAGATCGTGTGATTTACTGGAAAAAAGAGCTGCAATCTGACGTCACCGTAACCTTCCGATCCATTCTGATTGGTTTACTTGTGTCTTGCATAATAATGTACCGTTCTTTATAAATGGGCAATGCAGTGACAAAAGAATATAGCAAAGACATTCAAGGAAACAAGACACAACTGCGATACAGAAAACTTCAGCTTGCTGTTTGGAAGTCAGCTCCCTAAGGTTTGACTTTTTTTTACGTTTACATTTATTCACTTAGCACATGCTTTAATCAAAACATAGCAATACATTTTTGGTTCCTACCGGGAATGTTAATTTTGTCAGACCATTCCCAGAACATAGCTAAAAGGTTATTTTTCGCTATTCAGAATATTTGTTGTTGTTTTAGGTGCATAATCGCACAGGTTAATTAGGCTATGTTAATAGACATTCTAAAACGTTTAACGTGAAAATGTGTGACATGGCTTATTTAGATACTAAAGGAATAAATTAAGCAGGTTGTGCTATTTTGATGATGCTGCACTGCAGGCAAACAGTCCATATTAGGATGCGAGTGCAAAATGCAGTGGCAGAGCCAGGATGTTTTCACAGGGGTGGCCAGGGAGGGGCCAGCAAGCAGTCGGGGGTGGCACAGAAATATTCATTATTCAATATAGAAATGTGTTTGACTAAAAAGTACTGGACTGTTTTAGTGACTAAAACACAACTGAGCACAATTAATGTCTACTTAATTGTAATTGAAATTTTATAAATTACGTAATAATGAGTAGGAATGCACCGATACCACTTTTTTCAGAATGAGTCCGATACGATACTTTCATTTTGGTACTCATCGATACCGATACCTGTATTTTCACAACATTTGTCATTTTTTACAAATACTGCATACAGAGACAAAATAATAATAATAGTAATAATAATAATAATAAGAAGAAGACTCATTTTAGTAGGCTTCATTTAGCAAACAGATATTACCATCAGTTATTTCCACACTTAATTATACCTCTTAAAATGTATTGTATAAGCTTTTGTTACTTTCACTGTTCATTTTAATGGTGCATTAGAGCTGCTCCATTGCAGCAGCTCAATACTGTAATCACAAAACATTTTATGTTGAATAAAATTTTATGTTTCCACACTTAATTATACCTGTTAAAATGTATTGTATAAGCTTTTGTTACTTTCACTGTTCATTTTAATGGTGCATTAGAGCTGCTCCATTGCAGCAGCTCAATACTGTAATCACAAAACATTTTATGTTGAATAAAATTTTATGTATGAATTAAAATAATGCAGGGAGTACGCGCGTACTATTTTGGTGATGTAATTTGCGTCACACGCAGTGTACACGGACCCTTGCGTACGAATAAAAACCATAATTCTAAAGCAAGCTAAACATACGCAGCGCGCACACGTTTGTATTGGTGCAGAATGAGAGAGACACTTACAGCCTAGCACATTTCACCCAGTCTGCTAGTTTCACTATTGCTTTAAATAAAGTTGTGTATGCTTGACGTTTAAAATAAATGCTGTTTGTAGTGAATGCCCCTATAATTGTTGTTTGTTTTATATTTACGATTTAGTTTTAATCCAAATGCATGCGCACTAATCCAAATGCATGCGATAATGGAGTGAACAGCAATCAAGATCATACAACAGAAGTGCGCGCTCTCGGACTCTCTCTCGCTCTCTCTCTCCTTACCGTCAAATAACTTTAGTAACTTGTGCACTGTTTTGCTTGCTTGCTTTTGACATATCCGACTGAACTACAAACTTTCCAGTGATGTCTGTGAGATATTATTCACTCGACAAGCTCACTATACAGGCGTGAATATTGAATGCTGTTGTTCTGTTGTCAGTGTTTCTTTTTCTGGACACAGCTCTGTTCACACGTTGTGTAGTATCGGCTTTTGGTATCGGGGCACTTTTACGAGTACGAGTACAGGAGCGCAGTATCGGGCCCGATGCATCCCTAATAATGAGTGAATATGACAGATGTTTTTTTCTATTATTATTCTTCACCATAAAAGGGCTCACTATAGCTTTATTGCTCAGTCAGCTTGGTTCTGATTCCGGTAGAATGTATACTGCAGTAACTATTATTGATGTAAGTTCTCTGGGCATATAAAAGGGTCTGCATTTAACTATGATAAATTCCAGGTTAGGTGAGCAGTGTCTTCCAGTGATGACAGAGTTTGTGCACCAAGCTTTAGTTATATAAATGCACAGCCCTCCTCCTCTGGTCTTACCGGAATCTTCTGCCCAGAGAACGTAGCGGTCAGCTAACTCGATAGCAGTGATCGACCGATATTGATATTTTATAACCGATACCGATACCAATTATTTGCATGTTTATGTGCCCGATAACCGATATGATATTACAACAATAAAAAACATTTTATTTATAAAAAGCATCAACAGCAACAACACTAATATTGACAATAAACAAAATAAATGTAGAATGTCTAACGTTTTCAAATGGAGAAAATAAATAAAGGACAGGAGTCATATCAACTTCATTTTAAACTACAGTTTTAGTAGTTTTATAAGCTGTTTAATAGCTACAGAGTCAAGAATAATTCACTGGATAATGTTAATTCACTGAATAATATTCTCTGGAATATAACAAACAAAACAACATATTTTATTGAATTTCTCAACTGGAATGTTATATCAGAATTATCAATAATGTTTTTGTCGTTCTAGATTATGAAATGCCTGCTGACAGCGCGGTTTATCTATGCAGTTACACAGAGATATACTCAAACTGCGATCGCTCGCGGAGGTAATAGATAATTAATTTCCATAGAGTTGTATTTATTTAGATGTATTATTTAATTCAGGCAAAGTTACGTCTTTATTGGGACAGGACTTGATGGATTATCTTACGTGACTCCATGAGTTGGTCTCTATTTCTTAGAGCCAAGCTGCATAAACTACATATCAGGCATTTATATAATGCATCTAATTTGTGCATAAATGGCTGTTATGTTAAATAAAGTTTACTAATATAGCAACTATATCAAGTACCTGCACGCCGTTGTTGTTGTCTCGTCTCCCCTCAGACGTGCTGCAATGGCGATCCTGCGCGCAATTCTCAAAACGCCCACAAGATTTATCGGCGTTTATCGGTGAATCCAATATTACAATACCGATATCCGATTATGGTAAAATGCATCGGGAAAAATATCGGTAAATCGATATATCGGTCGATCTCTACTCAATAGTGCCGTTATTCAGGCATGTTTCTGTAAAAACCATGATATTAGAATCCATAATTCTCCTGTTGTTTGCGATGCACAGACGAAGATCGTCCATTTTGTTGACCAATGACCGTACATTAGCGAGAAAACTGCTGGGTAAAGAGAGCCGATGCGGTGTTAGCTTAGCTCTTAGGCCTCCGTGCTTTCCTCGTCTTTGTTTACAGTCCTGATGCCGTCTGCGAGCACTTCCGCCCGGGCCGGGTAAATTGAGCAGCCTCCGATGTTCTGGAGATCTCTGAGATGAGTCAGAGATCAGCGATAAAGGTAAAAGAATGTTGTAATCCAATGTACTCGTACTCGTTAAAAGTCCTCCAATGCCACACAACTTTTAAACAGTGCTGTGTCCAGATAAAGAATCACTGACAACAGAGAGTTTAGTAGAGATCTTATGGATGTCTATGTACATGATAAGTACATGTAGGATATGTAAGCTAATGATAAACATTGAATATTCACGCCTGTATAGCTGATGTGCGCGAGCTGATAAGCAAAGTACGCAGAGTGGATTGAGCGCGTGGCGGCACAGATGCGCGAGCTCTTCGAGCGAATATCCCTTTCTCACAGACATCTAGGGCTGTTCAACTACGAAATTTTTGGAATCGAGTCCGATTCCGATTCCCGGTTTTGGAATCGATGGTTTATATAATCAGTTGCACTCTCAGCCACTGATCTGTGCTCTTGGCGTTTTCTTTCATAATTATCATCGGCTGATAGAAAGGTTAAAAAATAAAATTTTATTTACTATGTAAATAAGAACAAGACCCTCGATCACGCCATAATCTATTCCGTCGTGCAGCAGCAGCGCTCAAAATTGTGGACAACATAAGCCAGTTCCACCGTAAAATAACCTCTGAATCGTTTTTTTTTTAACTGGTTCATTAAAACGATCTATCTGAAAGAACCTTTTTGTGGAAACGAATCAGACTTCTAAACACTATTATTGAGCAAGAGGCGTCTTTCTCATTCTGCACCAATGTGTACGTGGGTTGTGCATGTTTTGCTTGCTTTAAAGGCCGAAGTATACTTCAGTTTTTACTCGTACCCATACATCTGGAATCCAGAATACATCTGGAATTTTACTCGTACCCATACAAAACAGTGCACGTGAAGCAAATTTCAACACCAAAATAGAGCGCACGTACTCGTATAATGTATAACGAGTGGTTCCCTGCATTATTTTAGGAAAATGGCTTATGCTTATAGTACTGAACCGCTGCAATAAAGCAGCTCTAATGCACCATTAAATTAAAGATGAAATGTGACAGTTTTCTTTAAATCTTCAAGTTCAAGGCGTGCAATCTGACAAAGTGTCTTTTCTGCTAGATTATTAAACACATTGAAATAAAAGCTTGGGATGGTATCATGAGTTAGCTTTCATTTTTTCTCTCTCAAATATAAAGCTGCTTTGGTAATGGAGGGGAATTTACGGTTAAGACCCAGGACCAGATATGGTGAATGAAGACCAGGAATTGGACATCCAATTAATTGAAGAAAAAGAAAAATAGAAAAATGGGAAATAGTTTGCAGTTTCACCAGCAGAAGCCAGCTTCAAGTCTCACAAGGAGTTTGTTGGCCGCTCTGCAAACACGATTCCCAAAACATACCGATAACATGTTGTAGTCCTGGTGAGAAGCACAGACAATATTCATCTTTATTCAACTTAGATTTTCTTAACTAAGAAATTGTCACAAAACTAGTCTATATTTCACCTCTGGAAGCCGTGCAAAATGAGCAAACACTTGTGAAAGCATGTAGCTACCTTCCTTGCAAGTTAGAAATAGATGAAAACTTTAAAATCTGAACATAATAGCATGTCTACTATTAACTTTTGATGAAGCCTCGTCCATCCTTAGGCATGACCACAGTCGCTTTTCAGACATCAAATACAGACAAGAGAGAATACCTGGAAAGGAAGAACATTTCAACACTCAAGCAGTCATTTCTATGGGTGCATACATTTGAAAGAAAATCAATCAAATCATTTAATACAATGATCACTGATTAATATATTTACTATACTTACTCATATCAAATCACTCAAAAAGGATATATATATATATATATATATATCAGTGGCGGGCCATGCATTTTACACCTAGGCCTTCAGTGGCGTCCTACATGAATTAATCCATCTCTTCAGCTAGTATGCTGACCATCCAATCAAAGGACGAGAATTTATCATTATCGTTAGCCAGCTAGATGGCCCTGGTGCTGCCAACTAGAAATCTGATTGGTTAAAGCAACGGTTTCATTGGCATTGATTTAAGCTAACAGACGCCTGCACTGTGGATTCTGAAGGCCTTAAGGCAGATTTCTTTGACCCTGGCAACACGATTGCTGAAATATGATTGGATAAAAGCTCTAATATAAACATACACTGCTGGAAGCAGTGCAACCAAGAGAAAAGCTATGAACTGAAGAGAATAGACTATTGGAAATAATTTAATACACATTCATGGAAAAATATATTAAACCAAATCAGGGATTCTGATAGAGTTTAGGCCAGCAGAGAAGGCTTTGCTGGCCCTGACGACCCACCACTGATACATA